AGCCTCCCAAGTAGCTGGGACCACAGGCGCCTGCCACAATGCCTGGCTATTTTTTGGTTGCAGCCATTATTGTTGTTTGGCGGGCCTGGGCTGGATTCAAACCTGCCACCTTAGGTGTATGTGGCTGGCGCCTTAGCCACTTTAGCCACAGGCGCCGAGCCAAAGCCCATTTTCAATAAAGAATGCTGAAGAGGCTAGTTGAGGCAGCTCACGCCTATAATCCTAGCACTCTGGGAGGCTGAGGTGGGTGGATTGCTTAAGCTCAGAAGTTCAAGACCAGCCTGGACAAGAGTGAGACCCCATCTCTAAAAATTGCTGTACCTGTAGTTCCAGCTACTCAAGAGGCTGAGGCAGGAAAATCACCTGAGCCCAAGAGTTTGAGGTTGCAGTGAACTATGACGTCACAGCACTCTACTCAGGGTGACAAAGTAAGACTCTCTCTCAAAAAGAAAAAAAAGTTGGACAGAATGTCTAGGTGGGCCTTTGTTAGAGGGCAGGTAGTTCTGTGGTTTTAGAAAGAATTGAATGATGGTAACTTTAAAAAAGGCCCGCACCTGTGGCTCAGCAGCTAGGCACCAGCCACATACACTGGAGCTGGCAGGTTCAAACCCAGCCCAGGCCCGCCAAACAACGACAGCTACAACCAAAAAATAGCCGGGCATTGTGGCAGGCGTCTGTAGTCCCAGGTACTTGGGAGGCTGAGGCAAGAGAATCACTTAAGCCCAAGAGTTTGAGGTTGCTGTGAGTTGTGACGCCACAGTACTTTACCAAGGGTGACATAGTGAGACTCTATCTCAAAAATAAAATAAAAAAGGCCAGGCACAGTGGCTCACGCCTGGAATCCTACCACTCTGGAAGCCCAAGGTACGTGGACCACCTGACCAGCCTAAGCAAGAGTGAGACCTCATCTCTATAAAAAATAGAAACAATTAGCTTGGCATAGTGGCAGGTGCCTATAGTCCTAGGTGCTTGGAAGGCTGAGGCAGGCGATCTCTTGAGCCCAAGAGTTTGCTGTAACTATGATGATGCCACAGCATTCTACCTAGGGCAAGAGACTCTGTTTCAAAAAAAAGTTGTCATCGGGCGGCGCCTGTGGCTCAAGGAGGCCCATACTGGGGGTGGGTGGATTCAAGCCCCAAGCCTGACGCTGGCCAAAACTGCAAAAAAAAAAAAAAAGTTGTCATCACAGAATTGCTGAACACAGCCATTAATAGTAACAACACAATGGTTTATCCCAAGGCTCCTAGGCTTGTCCTGACAAATCATGGCTTATTTCTTGGTGGCACAGTGTTCTACATCTAAGATGAGCCTACAGAGTGAGCAGTGGCAGGGAGCTGGGCTGGTTGTGGAGAATTCTGAAAATCTCACCTCATTGCCCAATTTTACGTGTACCCTTTTTCAGGAGGACGAATTCTGCGACTCCGGGAGGCAGAGAGGTAGGCATTACCCAGTGTCCTTTGCAGCTTTCCTGTGTCTGCCTGTCTGCCCTATACTCACTGCCCACCTCTCAGCTGGGGGCTTCAATGGTTGGGCCAGCTGTTTAAGGCAGAGGAGAGGCTGTGGCTACTGGGTGGGCCTTGACCAGAGTACTCGCACGAGGCTTTGCTTCCAAGTGTCTCGGGGAAGCATTTCTCAGAAAACAGGTCCTTCTGCCTCACTGATGCAGGCTTGAGAGAAAGAGAGAGGAATGCTACAACAGCTCTCCATGCTAGGAAAGGGAGAATCTCAGAAACAGAGAAGAGGCCCCTCCAGTCCATCTTCTGTGTGCCCCCTTCGGCCAGTGCAGGTCCCTGTACTGTTGTCTCCTGGGATTCATCCTGTCCAGTTATGTCAGGGGCTATGCTCTCAGCCTTCCTCGTGGGGAAACCAGCAGCTACAGTGCTGAGTATGTGGGACAGAGTAGAAACCTGCTGGTGTGGGGAGTACAATGGTGGGGGGTGGGGGTGGGGGCTGTCAAGTATACCCAGGCCCACCAGATCCTCTAGAGGCAGTCACTGATCAGCAGGCCTTATAGTTTCCAGCATGGGAAACCTAAGAGCCTAAAGGAAGTAGCAAGGACAGACCAAAGTAAAAACCCTTGGAGGGCCATGGAATAGTGGCCTGAGGTGAAGTTTGAAGTTTCCTGGAAGCCACGTGTTTCTTTCCCTGTTCTCATGGGTCTGTCCATAGCTGATTACCTCAAGGATCATAAAGTGATTCCTTCGTGGCTCTGCTTTTATAAGTTCTGAAGGCCCTTGGCTCAGATGCTCCTTCTCTTGTGTTTTCAGGCTTAGCTGACCCTCTGCGGTCTCCCCACCCCAGATCCTGAAGCATTTCTGCCCGTAGCATGGGACCACACCGAGCATTTAGCAGCTCGTGCGGCGGGGCAAATGCTAAAGCAAAGGTGACATGTTTGTTGCGCGCAGGTCCTGCTACCTACCCGGGATGACTTTGCTATTAAACAGCAGTCATAGTTTCAGGCAGTGACCTCTTGCCAAAAACCCCACACGCCCTTTTGAGAGGCTTCTGAGCAGCGCACACCGGTCGCCATCTTCGTGGGACAGTCTCGGGACTGGCACCAGGGGTAGGGGTTACAGTTCAGATGCTTATCCAACCTTTTTTCAGCATCCAGCCCTGGCCCTGAACCTCAGGGACCCAGCCTGGCCTCATGCTGGGACACTGGCCACATGGCTCTCTGAGGAGCTCCTGCACTGGCCCCAGGGGACGGACGGGAGGACCAGTAGGTCTCTTCCCAGTTTTGTTTCTAGGATTGCTTCCCATACCACTCTGGGAAAGCCCTAGATTGATGGGAGTTTTTGAGTGGAAGATAGAGGTTGGGCCAGCAAGGACTATCAGACCTGCTGAGACCCTAGTTGAGACAAAGCCAACAGGACACTTGTCATGGTCCACCTAGAGGTGGGACAGAGGGCTATAGAGCGGCTCGCTTCATTTCCTGAGGCCTTCCAGCTGCTGCCTCTTTACCTGGGGAGAATTGGCTTCTCTCCTTAAGGTGACATTGGGAGAAGTCCCCATCACAGGGTGCTAAATTGGATAAGCAGAATGGGAAAGACACAGAGCAGGGCCCATAGTGCACATGGGAATGGCAGGCTGTGTCCCTGGCCCATCCTGGTCTTCCCAGGCCATTGGGGGAGTGAGGCAACTCCAATGGGTTCTCACCCAAGACCAGTGCCCATCAGGAGCCTCTGATGGTACCTCAGGGCATCCTGACCCTGCCGTGTGGTGGAGGGAGCAGCCAAGCCGCAGCCCCAACAAGGCCCTGGAGTGCAGGTCCCTCAGAGCATCTGGAAGGAACTTGTCTGTTATAGGAGAGAAAGATGAGGAGGATGAAGAAGTGAAGAAGAGAAGAGAAAAGCAACGAAGGAGAGACAGGATGCGAGACCGAGCCGCTGATAGGTGAGGTATGGGCCCAGATCCCCCCCTGGAGGGGGCTGGGCCTGGCACTGTTGAGGCTCCGTCCTTGATCCCCAAGGCAGAGAGCCTGCTGTGATCTGACTCCAGGCACAGATTGGGAAATGATTCAGGAGTATAGAAAAGCCCAGCATTGCTGGTTGATCTGTATGACTTAGATATGCCCAGCAGGGGGCTCTGTTATCCCTCCAGGGTGTCCATGTCCCCTGGCTTGGTGTCTGGCATCCCAGACAAGTAACCTTCACTCAGCAGAGCTGCTAACCTTCCCTTTGGGTACCTTGTTCAATCAGACCAGCTCTCAAGTTTAACACAGCTGGTATATACTCAGAGATGGCCCTACCATCAGGATTTTATTTTGAAATGGAAGAAGAATACAAAAACCTGAAGCCCAGAGAGTGTCAGAGTGACTGCACTGCATGCCACGCACCTTCCTCTCTGCAGTGATCATGTGACTTCTAACTAGAAATGGAAATCCCTGGTGACCAAGTGAGGGCCTGAGGAATCCTGGACCTAATGGTCCAAATGGAACATTGATTTTCTTGTGCAAAGAAATGCCAACTGGTCGAAATTCTCACTTTTAAACAGATAGATGATGGGTAGATTAGACCTATTTTGTGCCACGTGGATACTGAGTTGACAGGCATTGGATTATTTTTACCAAAAAACTAAACCATGAAAAAAAAAGCAATTCCTTAAGTCTTGTTCTTTTTTTTTTTTTAGACAGAATCTCACTTAGTCACCATCCTAGTGTACTGTAGCATCATAGCTCACAGCAACCTCAAACTTCTGGGCTCAAGTGGTGATTCTCTTGCCTCAGCCTCCCAAGTAGTTGGGACTATAGGCACCTGCCACAATGCCTGGCTATTTTTTTGTTGTAGTTGTCATTGTTTGGCAGGCCCAGGCTGGGTTCGAACCCGCCAGCCCTCTTGTATGTGACAGGCACCAAGCCTTTTTTTTTTTTTTTTTTTTTTTTGAGACAGACAGAGTCTTACTTTGCCTCCCTCACTTTGCCACCTCAGTAGAGTGCCATGGCCTCATAGCTGACAGGAACCTCAAACTCTCAGGCTCAAGCGATCCTTTTGCCTCAGCCTCCCTAGTAGCTTGGACTACAGGCACCTGCCACAACTTCCAGCTATTTTTAGAGACAGGGTCTCACTTTTGCTCAGGATGGTCTTCTACTTAGAAGCTCAGGCAATCTACCCTACCTCAGCCTTCCAGAATGCTAGGATTATAGGCATGAGCCACTGCCTGGCCCTGAGTTGACTTTTTTAAGGAAACAGGTGCTTCACTAGTGATCAAGGGTCTAAAAAGGATTTAGAGAAGTGGTTATAAGGGAGGTCTAGATGTAGAAAGGAAGTGTGGAAACCCCCCCCTTCCCCATCTTTTCGGTAGTTTCCTGACAAATTTGTACATGGGCCCTGGAAGACTTATTTTCACTTTTGTCAGGGAATGTGTCTAGAAAAGTGTCTCATGGTGCTTGTCAGTTCAGAAACTAGGCCATGGGGAGCTGGCAGAACTGTGGGTTAAGGAACCCTGAAAACCTACACCCTTACCCCAGGAGAGCTAGAACCTCCAGGGCAGAGCCAGGGAAAGAGCTCCCCACTATGGGAGCCTGAGTGTCTTGCAGGTCACTCCCCCCTCAATATATAGAATGGTTGAAATTTGGTGAGGGTGTGAAAGCACACAACAAAGGAGCCTGGCTTTGTATCCATAGAATTTGACATGATGTGCTTGGTGCCTATAGCTCAAGGGACTAAGGGCGCCAGCCACATACACTAGAGCTGGCGGGTTCAAGTCCAGCCAGGGGTCGGCACCTGTGACTCAAGTGGCTAAGGTGCCAGCTACGTACACCTGAGCTGGCAGGTTTGAATCCAGCCTGGGCCCTCCAAACAACAATGTTGGGCTGCAACCAGAAAATAGCCAGGCGTTGTGGTGGGCGCCTATAGTCCCAGCTATTTGGGAGGCTTGAGGCAGGAGACTAGCTTGAGCCCAGGAGTTGGGGGTTGCTGTGAGCTGTGATGCCATGGCACTCTAGCCAGGGGGACAGCTTGAGGCTCTGTCTCAGAAGAAATAAAAAAGAATTTGACATGATGGGTATTTATGTTGAATTGATGAGAACTGATTTGGGGTTATATGAGTACTCAATTGTATAAGCCCTTCAGGAATTTTTCCTTATTTAGAATGGGGTTGTTTTGTTTTATCTCCCTGGCTACAGAGATAAACCTATCTGAGAAACTATGGAGTTAGGTACTGGGCCCCCAGAGCATAAGCAAGTCCACAGTTCTGAACTGTCATTTTCCTGAAATACTTGAAAGGCTATGTTCCCATTTCTCAGCTGGGGAATCCTGGTTAAACTGCTACTCTGGCACCCCAAAGGTTTCCAAGGTCTTGGTTCAGAAATTGCTTTCCCATTTACATTTTAGCTCTGCCCAGAGATGAGCTAGTCTTCCCCACCTCATTGCTCTCCTCGTTTCCCTTCCCCAGGATTCAGTTTGCCTGTTCTGTCTGTAAGTTTCGTAGCTTTGAAGATGAAGAGATCCAGAAACATCTGCAGAGCAAATTTCACAAAGAGACGCTGCGGTTTATAAGTACCAAACTCCCTGATAAGACAGTGGAGTTCCTCCAGGTAAAGGACCCTTGGCCTCCATCTCAACATTTCCTGACTATCCTGCAGGCAACAAATTCCTCACAGAAAAGGGAAAAGAGAAAGGAAATGAGAGGCCTAGTCTCAGTTACGGTTTCTTTTTTTTT